TAAAAATTTTTTGAATTGCAAATTATCGTCGGATGGGTTTTCATAGATTTTTATTATTCCCGACAGATTTGGTCCACCGGAAGCATGGCATTTTCCTATGGTGGATTTTTAAATATATTGGATAATATTATTAGCTTTTTGCTTAAGATGTTAAACATGTTAGGATAATTTATTTTGAAAGTGCGTAAGAAAGACATTGTTGTGAGATTCATGTTTACCAGGATTATATTTGAATATATGTCATATTTATGTTTTAGACAGTTTCTTCTATTTTATTATTAGCATTATTATATCATATTTAAATGTATTTTATTAAATATCTGCAAAAACTTTTATAGGTTGTACAATAAAAATTGCATCACTAAAATGATGAAGGGTTGCAATTTTATTTTTGGAGGATGGTATAGATTTTCGGCTGAATTTGGGCAGGAATTCTTCAATAAGGCACCGACGGTCAAGTACAATGCGAAGGTGAGGAAAAATTATTAGGTGCGGAGTGTGCACCGTCCGCACAAAAATGGGTACCGGACTGTTCTCCCCGTCCGCACTCCGCACCTAATAATCTCTCGAAGGTGAGGCCAGAACATTCCACCAAAAATTTTTGGCGCCGATTCGACTCTATTCTACCACTATTGTTGTCACTATTTTATGACCTTGATCTATCAGAATATTGTCAGAATTCCGTTGAAAAAAAATTTTCCAATAGGAAAAACATGATGGAATAAATTTTCCTATAAGCGATTTACCCGCGGAATTTTTTCCATCAAAAATCTATACTTCCGTTAAAAGTCACCTGATTTACAAAAGAAAAATCTGCGAAAAATATTGAACATTCCTGTAGTTTTAATGCATACCAAAAGATCTGTTATTTGGTAAATTTAATGCATGGTCCAAATAAACACAAATTTGAGTGAATATTTTATAACTACTGAAAGCATATTTAATGATAAAGTATTATATCTAGGTCAGATAGCGTTAATTTGATAAATTGATTATTTTATTGTACAACTGTTATATATCAGTAAAATATTTTATATTGCTTTTTTGGGGAAAAAAATGTTTTATATTTGCATATATCGTTTATATCTTTGTAAAAAAAAAGTCATATAGTTAACAAAAAGTTCTTGGAGTGATTCTTAGAATTTTTAATTAGTTATATTATTTTTCCAAAAACTCAATAATTTTAGTTCATAATTAATGAATTATACAATAAATTGTGTGATTAAAGTATTTACTAATGTTGTGTCCTGAAATGTTCACGGCGATAGAGAAATATATAGTTTAACGTCTTAGCTTTATATGAAGCTCCAACACGAAATCAAATATAAGAAAAGGTGTAGCATGCATAAGAGACACCAATATTTTTTTATGGAAAACCCTGAATAGGGGAAAAACCATCGGGATTGGCCCATTTTGAATGAATCCACTAGTATTTATAGTTGATAACAAATGAGCCCCTTCATTGGAGGGAAGGCCTTGGCTTGATGTAACAAATATACATCATATTGAGTGTGTTACATGGTGGAAATAGAAAGAATCATTGTTGATGTATTCATTTGGTCGAAAGGAACATTATTATTGGGCGACAGACGTTGAAAAGAACATTGTATGGCGATGGAAGTTGGAAGGACTATAGTTGACGGGCGACGTGGTCGAAATGACCGTTGTCTAGCGATGGAGGTCAGAAGGATCATACTCGGTGGGCGATGGAGGTCAGAAGGATAGTAGTCTGCAGGTGATGGAGGTCATAAAGACTATTGTCTGGCGACAAAAGTCAGAAGGATAGTTGTCAACGGGCAATGGAGGTTGGAAGGATCGTTGTTCAGGGATAGAGATTAGAAGGACCATGGTCGGCGAGCGACAGAGGTCAGAAGGACAGTAGTTAGTGGGAGATGGAGGTCGGAAAGACAGTTGTCGGTGGGCGACGGAGATCAGAAAGATTGTAGTATACAGAATTCCATCGCCGAGTAAAAATCTGGTGACCGGAAAAAGTTCATCATTAGGTTGAAGTTCAAATAAGGCTTAGTGATGGTGGAAAGTTATGTTCAGGTAGAAGTCTGACGAAATATCGACGACGGACAGAAGTTCAACGTTGGGTAGAAGTCTGATGATGGGCATAAGTTTGGTGATGGGCAAAAGTTTGGTGTCAGGAAGAAATCTAGAGATGGGAGAAAGTTTGATGACAGGTAGAAATCTGATGATGGATGGATGTTCAGTGTCGGGTAGAACTCCAACAAAAGTCCAACGACGGACAGAAGTCCGACGATGGGCAGATGTTTGGTGCCGGGTAGAAGTCCAGTTACTAGCAAAAGTCTGGCGTGGGTAGAAATATGGCAATAGGAAGATGTACGGTGTCGGGTAGAATTATAGTGATGGACATGCAAAAGTCCGGCAATGGGTGAAAGTCCAGTATCGGGTAAAAATTCAGCAACAGGAGGAAGTCGGCGTCTGTAGAAATCTGACAACAGGTTGATGTCTAGTGTCAGTTCGTGGCTGGGCAGAAATTCGGTGTCAGTTGGTGGCCGAACAGAAATTCGACATCCACAGATAGCCAGGCGAAAGTCAGGCGATAGTTGGTGTCCGGGTTGAAGTGCGGTTGTGGTTAAGGAGGAGTTTAGTGGCAAGAGAACTATTCATTCTCTTCTTGCTTGGGTTCCTTCTAAGCACCCTGGGGTTCCCTTCTATGAGAAATGAGATGTCTATTTATAATTTTCTAATAGTAGTATGGTTGATAAATAAGGAGAAGATCGTGGGCATATTGGAGTGGTTTGAATGGACGGTTGATATCGATTCCTATAATAATAAACCGTTTATCGAGCATTTGAGTGTTTTAATGATATCAGAATTTGGCGATCTTCGGCTCGTTGGATTCGTCTCGTCAATTCACTCGATTAGACTATAAGCATGTTATGTTTGGAAACTGTTTGATAATCCAAAGTATGGATTGAACCTTCCAAATGTGCTTTGGGTCTTTGATTTGGACTCATTTGGGCTTAGATTGAGTCAAAATTGAAGTCGTTGGGTTCGTATTTCCTAGACATTCAGTTTGACTATAAGTTTGATGAAATCGAGGTTCAACTGGTCTCCAATTTAATTTTTAAAATTTTCAACTTAATTTTGCTTTGAGGGTTGTGCCCGATCAAAAAAATTGATGATATATCAATTAAATATATTTAAAAGCCATGGCTAAAATTATTTTTATTCATATTTTCAATAATATATATTTCAATAATGTTTAAATTTTCAATATTGAAAATTTTATCTGATGGACATTATATGTTTAGATGCTACATATGTGAGTCAAATAATGATAATAATAATAAACAAACAAGATTTCAAAACCTAATTGTATTGTATATACGAATTTATAATCAACTCATAACTAATATACTCCCTTTCATTTTTTTCCCACTTTTCTTCAAATCAAATTAAACCCAAGTGAACTTGGCCAAAATCTCTTTTTTTTTTTTTTAGTTAAAACTTCGGTGGGACCTACGTGTTAATTAAAAAGAAAATTACAAGATCCTTAAGGAGAACCTTCAGCTCTCAACCGCTTTGAAGAACTACAACACAAAATCAAAATTAAAAACCTACGAGCCAAAAGTTCCCGATAAACAAAATTTCAAGAAAACCTAATAACATGCTAGGGCGGCCAGAAGCCTGCAACCAAAAAGAAAGATCAAGTTAAAGGCAATCAACACCGTCTTTCTAACAAAAAAATTAAGCTTGCAACCAACAGCAGCTAGCCAAAGCACCTGCAAATAAAAAAAGGCATATAGAACAAAATCTCTTTCATTCAAGGTGACAAGCCTTTTTCTTTAAAGCTATTGTGATCCTTTTAGAACCATAGATATTTTTCTGTTATTGCCTTAATTGAATGCCAAAAAATGCTTACTACATCCCTTAGTGAATATTGTAGATCATAGTTCTTGTTAAATTGTATAAACAATACCACCTTTGCAACTTATTAAGGAAATTTATGTTGATTATGTATGAAAAAGAGATATATTGTGAGATCTATTAGGATTGCTTATTAGTAACTCATGGATCCATTTGTGAGTACAGTAATATATATATATATATATATATATATCACTAATAACATGGCTTGGTGTCTATGCATTGTCACTTAAACATAATCATTAATTAGCATTAATTATTTAATTATAGTTAAAAATAATCATGATCAAATACTCCTTTGAGAAAAAACTTGAAATTGTCGTTAATTATTTTTAAAACTAAATTTGAGTAAAACTAATGAATTTTTTATTACGGTTTTACTCTCTAAGTTAATTAATATTGAATTATTCTAAATTATATATTACAAATTTTTGCTGAATCAAATAGGCTCATAAGTTTAATTTAAACTCCTTAAGTCCACGCTAGTAGAAAATGTTTGGAATTCGTTGCAGTCGGTAGCGGCAGTTTTAAATTGTTGCTATAGCCCCGTTAGGCAGTAATTTAAACTGCTAATTCTAACAAGCGTTTAAATCACCTTTATTAGTGGTGATTTAAATCACCACCTATAAAAAAATTATGGGAGATTTACATACATACCACTTTATACTATTCTATTTACATATTTAACACCTAAAATTTTAATATTACATATATATCCCCCATAATTCATTTTTATATCAAATATGAGTGGTAGGAAGGAAATTTGAGTGGCATATTTGATATTAAAGTAGTATAGGGTGATATATATGTAATATTAAATTTTTGGGTGTTAGATATGTAAATAGTATGTTATAAAGTGGTTTGTAAACGAGTACCTGAAATTAAAGAGTTAGAGCATAAAGAATAACAGAGAAGAAGGACCAAGCTCGTTCTTGTTCTTCATTAGAGAAGAAAGAAATTGATATGTTTTGCTACAATGAAAATATTATATAGAGAAGAGGAGATATGTAGATGAGCTATTGCGGGTCCTTTTCTGTGCCAGAGAAAGTGATGCCGATAATTGTCAGGAGGCGGTAGTAGTGGGCACATGATTATGTTGGCTAACAGGCCCCCTCAAACTTACTATCCTTTGGATGGATGGTGAGTTTGGATCTCAGTTGTTGAAACCGGTTGACAGGCAGACTTTTGGTAAGGATGTTAGCGGGCTGGTCGATGGAATGAATGTGCTGAACCGAGATATCTTTGTGCTGGATGTGATGACTGATAAAATGATAGTCTATTTCGATGTGTTTCAATCTGGCATGAAACACAGGGTTAATTGCTAGTGCTAGTGCAGAAACATTATCGCAGAATATGGTGGTTGGCTCGTTTGGAGTGGCATCAAAGTCGGTGAGAAGACGACGGAGCCAAATAACATCAGAGGTGGCTGCAGCTAGTGCACGATATTCTGCCTCAGTGGAAGACTTAGCAACCGTAATTTGTTTCTTTACTGACCAGGAAATCAGGTTCTTACCCAGGAATGTACAGAAGCCGGAGACGGATTTGCGGTCGGTTGAGTCCGATGCCCAGTCAGTATCTACGAACGATTGAGGGGTAAGCTCTCCGCGGCGGAGCGGGAGACCATAGTTTAAAGTACCGTGTAGGTAACGAAGCACATGTTTGAGGGCATGAACATGAGTTGGTTGAGGATCATGCATGTGCTGGCACAACTGGTTGGTTGCAAAGGCAAGATCCGGTTGTGTTATGGTCAAATACTGCAGAGATCCGACGAGCCTGCGATAATTTGTTGGTTGGAGCAGGGTAGAGTCCGGTACAGTGGAATAAGTAGATTTCGGAGTAATAGGAGTGGGAAGTGGTTTGCAATGGAGGAACCCAGCAGATTTGAGGATGTCAGTCGCATATTGTTGCTGATCTAGGAAGAGACTTTGAGGAGTGATGGAAATACGAATGCCAAGGAATAAAGACACTGGAGCTGGATCCTTGAGGGAGAAGGCTTGGCAGAGACTGAGAAGGATTTGCTGTATGGCCGATGTATCATTGCCTGTGATTAGCATGTCATCTACGTAGATGAGGATGTATATTTGAGCTGTGCCCTACTTGTACATGAGCAGGGAGGGATCGGCTCTGTTAAATTGAAAGCCGGTTGCTTTGAGATGCTGAGTAAGCTTCGTGAACCATTATCGCGGGGATTGCTTCAAGCCATAGATGGACTTGTGCAGCTTACAGATGTGAGACGAAAATTGTGGATCAACAAACCCCTGAGGTTGACTCATGTAGACATCTTCCTCAAGGTCACCATGAAGAAACGCGTTGGTGACGTCAAGCTGCAGTAAGGACCAATGTCGCTGTACAGCAATGGTGAGAAGTATTCTAATTGTGTGAAGCTTCGCAACTGGACTGAAGGTTTCATGATAGTCGAGGCCTTGTTGTTAGTTGAAGCCTTGGGCGACCAAACGTTCTTTATACCGCGTAATGGAGCCAGTGGCGTCCCGTTTAAGACAGTAGGTCCATTTGCACCCCAAAATTGAGTGAGTAAAAGGAGCAGGTACAAGCGACCATGTTCCCTATTGTTGCAGCCCGTGAAATTCATCAGACATGGCAGCACGCCAGGGAGCGAGTTTGGAGGCTTGAGTGAAGGAAGTAGGGGTAGATGGATCGGTATTGAAGGTGAGGAGATCAAGGATGGGTTTTGGCTTGATTATTCCAGATTTCAGACGTGTCTGCATTGGGTGAGTGGGCTGAGAGGTGTGTGGTGGGGTAGATAAGGTATGGTTAGGAGAGGAGCTGCTGGAGGTGGAGTCGAGAATTATGTTGGAGTTAGGTTTAGAATTGGAAGGTGAGGGAGGTTCGGGAATGATTGTAGAGGAGTTAGTGTTGGGGTTGTTGGGAAGGGTAGGTTGTATTGAGGTGGGTAAGAGTGTGAGTGGAGAAGATCTGGATGATTCGGAGTGGTAGGGAGCGGGTGTTGTTGGAGTAGAGTAGAGAAATATTGACTCGTGAAAGATAACATGGAGTGAGATGATTATTTTGTTTGTGGCCATGTTGTAGCAGCGATATCCTTTATGGGAGGGGGAATAACCGAGAAAAATACATTCGGAGGATCGAGAGGATAGTTTGTTTGGAGCTTGATGCTTCAACCAGGGGAAGCACAGGCACCCAAAGGTGCGCAGGTGAGAGTATGATGGAAGTGTGTTATGTAGGACCTGGAATGGAATGCATAAGTTTAGAGCTTTGGTTGGTAATTGATTAATGAGGTAGTTAGCTGTAAGAAGTGCATCTGCCCAGAAGTTTTGGGGTAGATTGGCTACGAGCAGAAGGGTGCGGACCGTGTCAAGGAGGTGGCGATGTTTTCGCTCAGCCAATCCGTTTTATTCGCGAGTATGAGGGCAGCTGAATTGTTGAGCTATGCCTTTGCTGAGAAAGAATTGTTTGAATTGGTTGTTGGTATACTCTCCTCCCCCGTCCGACCAAAGTGTTTGGATGTTGGTGGATAATTGGTTGTTAATTGAGTTACAGAATTGATTAAATTTACTGTATGATTCGGCTTTAGTTGTCATTGGGTAGAGCCAACAGAATCTGGTACAATCGTCTATAAAGATAATGTAATAACGATATCCATTAAGAGAGGTTACGGGTGCAGGACCCCATACATCACTATGTATAAGCTGAAATGGTGAAGATACATGCGTAGTATTTTGGGGAAAGGGGAGCTTATGGCTTTTAGCCATATTAAAATATTTGCATAAGTGGTGGTTAGGAGAATAACTAATGCTACTATCTACGGCTGCCAATGTACGAAGAGCGAGTTGATGTGGGTGGCCGAGTCGATCATGCCAGCGGGAAGCAGAGCTGAAGCGAGAATGAAGAGCTTGTTGTAGATGGTTGGCAGAGGTTGTGGAGATGGAGTAGAGTCCGTCACGACACCTACCATGGAGGAGTATTTGGCGATTCTGCAGGTCCGTGATGGTGAAGCCGGTGGCATGAAAAAGAATGTAACAATTGTTATCGGCGGTAAGTTTGTGAATAGAGATGAGATTATGAGAGAGAAGTGGGGTGTGAAGCAGATTTCGAAGATGTAACTTACGATTGGAATTAGGAAGTGGAAGGATACCGTCACCAGAAGAGTGAATCGGAATGGTGATGCCATTTGCGAAGGATATCGCGTCAGTGCCTTGATAGGGAACAGGTTGTTGAAGATTGCTCGCTTCGGACGTGAGGTACGATGTTGCTCCTGTGTCGAGGATCCAGTCCGATGAGGTGACACCGTGATTATGAGTCAGCATTGCTCATGGAGGACCTGGATTGTAGCTGAGATTGCTACGGTGCCAATATTGTGCGGCAATGTGACCTGGTTTATTGCAGATTTGGCATATGTGTCACTGCTGTTGGGGTGTGGTATTGCTATTATAATTGCGAGATGGAGAACTGCGACCCCTGTTTGAGCGAGAGGATGGAGAGGAGTTTCCTCTTCCGCGGGATGAGCGAACATTGCTGTAGAATGCTAATTCGTCTTTAGCTGGTGAGGACTCTTTAAGCAGCTGATTTTGGATGTTGATTTCCTCACTACATAGAATTGGTATAGCACCTCCAGACTGATCGAGGTTTGACATGTGCGAATGGATGTGCAAAAGGAGTTATAGGCGGCGGGTAATCCATTCAGAATGTAATGTATGAAGTCCTCGGTGTCTACTTGAGACCTCGCGGCAGCGATGCTGTCTACTAACCCTTTGATTTGAGCCAGGTAGGCCTGCATAGAGCTGTCTCCCATACTCATATTGTGTAGAGTGTTCTTAAGCTGAATCACCCTGGATTTATTGGTTGGTTGCAGGCGGCATTCCAGCATTTTCCAAATCTCTTGAGCAGAGGATAGGTGAAGGATATACGACAGTATTGTCGGAGAGATGGTAGAATATAGAGCAGAGACTAGATTTTGATCCACTAGTTTCCATAGGCGATAGTCGGAACTGGATTCAGTGGTTGGTTGTTGGCTTCCGGTGAGGTATCCATCGAACCCATTGGCGGAGAAAAGTTTGATGGTTTGAACCTTTCAGATAGCGTAGTTGTCGTTGGTTAGTTGGGTGGTCACAATGTGCTTTATGTTGGACATAAGAAATTTTAGAGGAGCTGGAATGGTGAAGTCGGCCATGGCCGCCGATAGATAGGTAGCTTGTTGCGGCTTAACTGACTGAGTACTGGAAGCTTCGGGTTCTGCCATTTGGATCTGTCGCCGTTAGGTTGGTGAGCTCTGATACCATAAACGAGTACCTGAAATGAAAGAGTTAGAGCAGAAAGAATAACAAAGAAGAAGGACCAAGCTCGTTCTTGTTCTTCATTAGAGAAGAAAGAAATTGATATGTTTTGCTACAGTGAAAATATTATATAGAGAATAGGAGATATGCAGATGAGCTGTTGCGGGTCCTTTTCTGTGCCAGAGAAAGTGATGCCGGTAATTGTCAGGAGGCGGTAGTAGTGGGCACATGATTATGTTGGCTAATAGTTTGTATGTAAATTTTCCAAAAATTATTTGCCCTAGCAAGCTCCGGAAAATTATTACGTCAAGTGTCCGGATTTGTCCGGACGCCAATCTAGACTCGCCACGTTACCCAGATACACCAGGGGCCCAGTATTTCCGAGTGACGTGGCGCGTCTGGATTGATGTCCGGACGGTCCGGTGACCGGACATAATAATTCGCCGCAAGCTCCACCCTGGCCCTTCATCTCGATCAAGTGGCATCTTAACTTTTCAGTGGATGACAAGCACACACCGCCCATAATCGCCTATGTGATTGTCCTCTTCCTCTCTTTAGATCGAGCAACAATCTCATCTTCCTCTCCTCAGATTGAGCATTCATCCTCCACCACGTCGTCCCCAGCTCCATGCATCGCAACACTGTCGTCACCTATTTCAGTTGCTCAAATTTCGGGGTTCTCTAATTGAGCTACCTCCTCTCCACCGAGAAATGAGAAAGCTCCCTCAACTTCAGAGTCTGTATGCCATCACAGTATAGTTCACATCTTTCCCTAGTTCCATTAGTCCCAAAAATGCTATTACCATTCCAATAAGGTATATACAATGTTGTGCATGTTCCAAATAATTAAATGATTAGTATTTTATATCAAGTTATTAAGATATTTATTTCTAAGGCTGTATTGCAAAAGAATTTTATCCTAGATATGTATCCTACATATATGTCCTAGACATTTAACCTTGATATGTATTGCTAACAGCCACCAAATTTTGAATATTTAAGATGAGTACATTCTATAATTAAACATTCAAAGTATGTATTATCTCAGCATGAATTTGAATATTTGATGGCTATAAAGTTTATTTTGATTTAATTTGATAGGCATTATATATTCTAACCTTCTATTGTCATACTATGATTTATTAAAATCGATTGAAATTAATATTGACGTTCATCAAACAAGACAACGTTCTTATTAAAGAAGTTTTCTGTTCGGCTCTCTTTTAAAATATCTCAAAAATATGAATTTTCATTCTACACTAAAATTTATTTAAAATAAATATACCTTTTTCATTTTTACCGAACAAGATTTTGGAGTTAATTAGAAGTTATATCCTCATCAATAAAAAGAGATATAGGGTTATTTAGGGCATCTCCAACCTAACACTTTATTTTCCACTTCAAAATGCAATAATAATAGTCATATCAAACATTAATTCATCTCCAACCGAGCTCCACTTCTAACACAAAAAAAGAATATTCAATGCAAATTATTTCTTACCTTCATTTTTGCTCAAAAAAATGGGTTTCCGTGAATATTGTGAAGCCCATATTGGAGTTTCACTATTCACCACCGCCAACAAATATTATTTTATTTTTAGTGTTCGGGTGGACGCTCGCGGTAGCTGCAAACGGATGTTTGTAGTTGGATTTGAGATGCCCTTCTAAGTCTTTTGATAACAATGTTTGTAGATGATCTACTAAATTTTATCAAATGAGATTAAAAGTTAAGTGCCAATATTGAAAGTGAATAATAAATCATTAAGTTTATTGGCTTATCCGTAAACCCATGCAAATCTTTATTT